GCCAACAAAATTATGCCAACTTTCTATCTAAATGTAAAACAAATATAGCTGCGAATTAAATGTCACGACGGATTTTACTGTAAAATGCCTTGGTTTGATTCAGTGAATTTAATTAAAATACACCCATAAATTTTCCTTAGCTACAATATAATTATCCAACTGAACAAAACATTATGTGATACTACGCCAACACAAAAATAATTATCCACTATACACACCAACCAATAATTTAGAAGTTAAGCGTTCACTACTCAAACAGGTTTCTGCACACATACCACCATCGAAAAATTCCATTATGGTTGGTCAAGAGTTTACAGAAGACATATTTTGAAAAATTATCTTGTTTGATGCATCGTTCCCATGATATAGTTTTAAGAATTCGACTACTACGGAAAGCCAACTAAGTTAATTCAAACGAAAGCGAGTGTACAAAAACTGATTATCTAACTTTATCAAAAATGATGAGTGATTTACCCACGTTATTTGGTATGATGATTGGTGTCATTGGAATAATGGGGATACTTTTACATTTGTTCATTGGTTCCGCATGGATAGCTTACTTGTTTGGTTGGCACTTAAGAAAGTCAAATTATCAAAACCATAAAAATGTCTGCCCGCGAAAATTATGGCTGGAGTGGCCGAAATGTCCTCTACGATTCTCAGCAAAGGTTCAAATATTTGTAATTGTTATGACCGGTTTCATTATTCACTTAACAGATGCGGTTAGAATTACATGCTTATCATTATATGGAGTTGATCTTCGAGTTAAATATGGAGAAACGTTCTGCCGCTTTCACACATTTTTGCATAGTATTTCAAAAGATATTTCAACTTGGGCTTTCGCTTTACTATGCTTTGATAGACTCTCTCTCATTCTAGTTGGCCGAACATACGTACGGATTATGAACACGAAGATAACTATAGTTATTCAAGCCATATTTATATTTTTCATAACTTTATTAGCAAACAACACGTTCCTAAAATTCTCGGAAGAAATTTGCACTCAGTATTTTTATAATGAAAATTTAATGTACACTTGGTTCACTCTCAGTGTATTTCTTCCAACGGTTATCTCAATAATGTCCTCCAGTTTAATTATCCGAATATGCTACAATAGAGAGATCAAAATCAATATTAATCGTAAACTGATCGCATTACCTGGTTCACGATTACAATGTATTTCCTTAAGATCAGTGAATAAGATTCTTACTGCTAAAATGGCATTATTATCAACTTCAACATTTCCAGCATTTCATACACTTTTATTTATTTTTACTATAATGAACAAAAATTACTGTTGTTTTTTTTTGTTTGGAAATCAACTAAGTATTGAAGATTACTTCTATGTTTCCCTACTATTGATAATGTGTATTCTCCATACTCTTCAACTCTACATGCTCATTTTATCTTCTACAAGTATCAATCGTGATATGCACATTGTGATTACTAATATGAGAGCAGAACTCCTAAGACGTTTCAGTGGACACTATTGAGTGAATTATTTATTCTATTTTATTAATATCTGTTTAATTAACGATAGTATATTTCGAGCAATATTTCAAGAGTACATGTTCAAATAGTAATCTACTGATGATTAATGCATTCTTCATTTAAATTTCAATGTATAAATATATATGTTTATATCAGTAAAGCAAAATATTGTAACATCAAAAAAGACAAAAAAACAAATACTCAAATCATTCTACTGGAAGTAAGAAAATGTGATTAGTTCACTAAAGACATTACGAAGAACAAAATTGAAACACAAGAATGACACTATTTAACATTTCATGTATGGGCACATGTGAATATGAATATGTTTGCTTCGTAATTAATGTAAACTTGTTGTTTAAATAGAGTGTATTACTTTTGTGCTAGATTATTAAACAAGAGATTGTAATTGTAAATTGGTTATAAATTTAACATGCTACAATACAAATATTAAACCAATACTTTTCTGGGGTTTGTAAAATCTAATTTTATGTCAACCATTAGCTAATACTAATCGACCGAACTGATTAAATTTAAAAGTAAGTAAACTGTTGATTTAAAAAATTTATGTAACTTACTTCATTTAAATAATCTTGGGACAGTATTATAATAACAGACCAAACAAATGTATCTTCTATACACGATACTATTTAGTCAGACCGATGAGACCAATTTAATAGGTATCAAAATTTTGTAAAATACCAATAGCTGCTACCTGAGATATTATACATTAAAATGTGGCCGTTTAAACGTCCAACTATTTAAATATGAAGAAGCAAGCATTATGTAAAGAAATCATTATCAAGTTCAAAATTTGATTGTAGTATCATTTAAATTTCAGTTAATTAAAAAAGGACAGCATTCTCTCACGTTGTTATATTGAACACAAAAACATTGTCTATCATAAATGTAGGTATCTTATTTGTTAAAACCCATTCATCAACCTACAAAAATCTATGATAAGTTCAAATCAACGAAATGATTATTAGCAAGTATTATAAGTATGTTTAACTTATGAGCAAAACTTAACCATGTACACGGTCAAACATGAAAGTAAAGCACAAAATCATACCAAACTATTTTGTGGTTTACATAATCAAGTAGTGGTTTATAACTCAAAATTATATGAGTTCATTGAACTAGATACAAAAATATTTATTCTATGACTTTGCAAAACTTCTTGTTTTCCAGAAACATATTTCATTATGTTAGAAAATTACATCATACATATTTCTAAGTTTAAAAACGACCTGATAAGATTAATTATCATGAATAACTTTTATCATCCTTTCAGTTTAACCATTTTTTTGTCTACCATACACGCATAGCATCAATAATATGATAATGCTAGTGGTTTTCTTCTATTCTAGACAACTCTATTTGTTCATATAAGCCTATATTGTTGTATCTGTTCAGCATTAATTACCACTTTTCTTTGGTTTACCATAGTATAATACTTATTATTATTCTGTAGTTTATATCAGTATCACTCGTTACGGGACTCGAGAATCATACGCATTTTTATCCGATATTTTAATCGCTTTCCCTACTTGTATTGCCACTTTTTTCCTATTTTATTAATTATTCTATATCATGTATGATACTAATTGAAACTTAGTTTAACCTGGAAAGCTCGGCTATTTTTAATTCATAGAGCTTGATTTATGTTATTAATTGCTGGTATGTTTGACAGACTTGTGCTGTTCTTTAACTTTTGGTAGGTATCGTAGTTATTATCATTATCCAATCATCCGAAGGATGCATTTCCCTTCTGACTGTGCTTTTGACAGCTTATCGACACCTGGGAAACTCATTATTCAAGGATTGAAAGCCTCGTTCCACTTTATGGTTCCCGTTGATGGTACTCCATTTCAGATAAATCGCATCTTTTGAGTTCCGAATGTACACTAATTATATAATTATATGGTATCTCATGTTCTTCTGCTTCTGCAACACCGAGTGGTATACCATTAAGTCTTTGAATTTGATATTCTGATTAATTTCAATACGATGGCTGAACAGGAAATGTACGTAATCTATTTTGAGGCACGATTTTTACTCACAATCACACAACTCAGTTAAAGCAATTTACAACTTACGGTTTCGAATTTAATTACACTACATTTATTTACTTCCCTTCAGTCCGAACCCTATGGGAAACGCTTCCTCGTGTTTTCTGTTAGTTCATCATCTTTGATCAAACAAGAGTTTAGAAAGCTTTGGTCCTATAGTTACTTAGACGGAATAGAAAACCTAAGGATATTACCAGGAATAACAAAACATTTTTCTATCCATTCGTTTTGAAGCGATGAGCATTGAGTTCAAGTCTCAGTTTTGATACCTGCAATGAGATGTCAATACTTCTAATCGACGAGTTCCATATACGATGAAATGAGCGTTCTGGCTTTAACTGTTACTCAGTATTCAAAATATAATCGATAACAATAGTACGTATAAAAATTTATTCTTGCTCGATTAGTGGGAATAGTCAACTTGTAAAACAGTTTAAATTCATTTTCTCGGTATCTCAAGATATGTGTTTTTGTAAATTATGGGTGAATAATTATTTTTCAAGACGTGAGAAATTTATTTTCAACTGACAATTACAGATAGTTTGTCGAACAATTAAAATTTCAAACTTGGAAGACGGTATTTATTATATAAAATGTTTAATCAACGAAACTTTTAAACACATCCACCAATTAAAAGATTGCAGATTCATTCATTCAAATTTATTTAACCCAACTTCATATATCGCATAGTTGGATACAAATTGACTAAAAATAAGTACAAAATCATTGTAAAAATAATAATCATACTGCCCTGTAAATTTAGAAATCAAAAGTTAGGTTGTATATCACTACTCACTCACTCTCTCTCTCTCTCTCTTTGTGGATCATTGTCTCTTCCATTTACATATGAAAACATGAGATAGTTATTAATTTCTCGATCACATATATACTACCAACTGAATAGATATAAAACATTTCGAGTAAAACAAAAAAACCAAAAATAAAAAACAGTAAAAACAAAATACTAAACGTACTTCATCTCCTTTTCTTCATTAAGTAACAGTTATCATCATTCATTTTAAAAGGATAACATTTTTTCAAGAATCATTTATACATAATGACAATATAAGTAAACAAGTTTACACATTATTTTACAAAGTTAGAATATCTGAGGCACAAAATAGACGACAATTCTTTTTTGTTTATCTATTTCTTTTTACAAAGAAGAAAAATAACTATTAATTAAATTTTTTACAAATAATTTACAGAGGATAAAAATTTCAAGTTGTTCTTTATAAGTAGAAAATATTAGCAATCGAATGTAATAATTCATCATAAGTATGACGATATCCATCTTGGTAATAAATGAATGAAAAATAGTCAGTTGCCATATATATATATTATACATTAAAAATTAATTGTCCAAAAGTAATTTGATTTCACCATTACTATTATTATTATTATTATTATTATTATTATTATTATTATTATTATTATTAGTAGTAGTAGTAGTAGTAGTAGTAGTAGTAGTAGTAGTAGTAGTAGTAGTAGTCATATCAGTGTTGTTTTCCATACTTTCAAAATAATCAGTTATAGTTAATGAGTGATTTTCCGTTTTACAACAATTAAAACAACAGTTTTGATCAGTAGTTGGATTGTAAGAAAATTTTGTTATTGGTAAACTTTGCAAAGATTTTGCTGTTGGATAAAAGAACCATACAAATAATATTAAACCAATGACGAAAAGAACTATCAATTCAGTATAGTATCCATCGAATACATTAATGCATGATTCTGTTGCATTAATACATTTCTATTTTAAATTGAAAAGAAAAAGAAATTAAAGTTGACATTTTACACTGAGTTTATAGACATTTATCTATCTATTTATAATCAATTTTCTGTAATAATTAAAAACTTGCAAATATATAAAGAAAAAAAAGAATAGTGAAGTAATTAAGTGAACATAATAAAAGAAAATATCGCATGTATGTAAATATCATGATTCTCAACAATTCGGTATACATAAGGTTAATGAAAAATGTTGCTTTCCTGTTACATAAGACGTGATGAAATGTAAGAACTAATGTGTTGAGTTTTAAGACAAAATTCCAGTGATGTTATCTGGATAAAGATGTGAATGCTTTAATTTTAAAAAATTACCACTTTGTTTGTCAGTGTTAGATTGCACCAGAAAATCCTAACGAAATACGTCTATCTTCATGATTATTTTTCATGATTGTTGGACTTAATGACCTAGGTTAGTCATATTATGGTTAAGTATGGTATAACGAACAGCTTATAATAACTGTTACGAATTCCCAGCCAGTTTCTAATCAAACATCTTTTATAAATGGATATTTTATGAGAAAGAAAACAATAATATTGTAAAGTGTAAACTAATTTTACACAATTAGTAAACCTATAATTGTCTTCTATAGGTTACTCTGACTGTACAAAAAACAATAACGACATGAACTTGTACTACAGATATAGATTTTTCAACTTTTCGAACCTTTAAAAGGATTCAAAGAGGTTTCTCTGAGTCCTAGTTCGCACTGACTACTTAGGGGTTAAAGATTAGGGTTTTCATTACGAACTGACATCACCTATAATGTACACATGCTCTGTAGCCATATTTATATATGAATTTCGCTCAAAACACAAGAGATGTTATTCTATTATTTTGTCCACAAACTACAGCGTTACTGTGTTCATTTCAGGGTTAAGGGGAAGTTGGATAATTCCAAACAATTAAGTGATCAAAGACGGAACCCTTAACCACTATCTTTTCACTGTTTTAGAACCAGGTTGGTGAACATTCTCGTCCACTAGGTGAAAGTGATTGCTAGCTATGGCTTTTTGTATACAAAAGAAATAGGCTTTGTCTTCGCCTTAGCCTTCTATTATTAGTATTTTCATTTCATATACTTTTGTAACTGAAGATACTCTTCTCTTCTAATCTATATTTCGTTACACTTTTGCTTTTTACATATAATAGTCTTCAACATAACTTTAATTAACCCTAATAACACCCTCAATTGTACAGATAAAAACAATTTAGTTATGTTACTCGATTACGAAGATAATCAATTATTAACTTTATGTTTTCGGACGCTTTCTTAGGATAAGGACACCCGTATATTGTTATCATTTAAATTGTATGATCCAGTACAAGCGCATCCAGTTGATGAGTCTTGAATAGGATTCCACGGCTATCCATTATTTATCTCTGTTTTAAATACTAAAATGTTATCAAGTTCATTTCTTTTGTCATGAATCGTACTAGTTATTAGTAGATAACATTATCATTGAAAAATGAACATACATAGAAAATATTTTACAAAGTATAACGTGTAAATTATATTCACATACGTTATTTCCATCTAAAGCATAGCAAGTGGTATTTTTAGTAGCCAATGAACTATTAAAAAATATCACACTATTGTTTGTATTTATTCCAGAATGAATTTCATTTTTCATACATGAACGGATTGTCAAAGGCTCTATTAGAGCGAGAGAGAGAGTAGTTCCTAAAGAACCAGCTATTTTGAGCAAATAAAAAATAACCAATATGAAACGATCAGATCAGTTAAAATTCAAAATAAGTAAACTTTTATTCTTGAGCTTAATTTATGCACCTTCATAGCTACCTTAAATAATTTCACTATACAAACATTTAATTGAAATTGATCGTCTGTACATTATATTAATGAATCAGATGGGTGCAAACATGTCTCTGCATTTACATACATATCGTAGAGAGATGGTAAGGTGGATAAAGCATATTACTTTCAAATATAATATGGTAAGATCAAACACCACATTGATTAATCCAGATTAGGCGTTAAGACGACTTTGCTATCTTTTAAATTTAGCTGTTGGTATATTTTGTGTTCTAACGCTCAAACACCAACTTCCCAGCAGCATCCTAAGAATTAGAAATCTATCCTTGGACATCGAACACAAAAACAAAAAGTAGGGAATATGCTAGGTTTACTTCTAAATTCAGTTCATATATTTTAAAAGTTTACAGAATTACATGTGACCTTGAGTTCCTAAACGTTTCTAGAAATCGTCCTAAAATTTGTAACATAGTCGATAATTGTTCAATCGGACAGCAAAAAAAATAATTCGTCGTTGTTTAACATTCTCTTGCAAATAGCTTAAAGAATCCTAGCTGGTCGAATGACTTTTCAGCATCTCGCTAACTTCTGAAAACGTTTACGAAGAATTATTGGAAACTTCTAACAGATAAACAAACTTAAACCTGTTTATTGATTCGAAATGTATACGCAGGTTGTATTTTATTAGATATAAAGTAAGTCAACAGGAAAAACTGTTCATCATTAGATAAATCGAAATAAATGTTGACTGAAAAAACTACTAAGTAAATTAATTTCCCAAAAAGAAACCAGATAAAATAAATTTAATGTTCCACAGTAAATAAATAAATGTATTGTGATATGTGATATTTTCAAGGTGAAAAATTAACTATTATCAGGCAGAAAAGATGATTATCTCACGCAGGTTCCTTTTTAAAAAAATAGAAAAATAAACATTTATCTACAACAACGTAAGTGAACTTTGAAATATTGCCTATAAGATAAAAAAAGTCTCATTGTTGAATATGAAAAGAACGACGATAAGTTCGAAATTACTGGTATTAACCTGTTAGTGATTCCTATAAGTGACAACATTAAATGATCACTATCGTTATTAAATTTTCTTCTCAATAAAGCAGATATCGTGGAATACAAATTTTTATGTCAAAATTAAGATGTTTTGAGTAATATGAACTGAAATTGTAAGTAACTAGTATCAAAACTACTTATTACCTTTTAAAATCATTAAAGACAACGTGAGTGATGTATATCAGTGATTATTGTTAGATATTATATCTTAAAAAAAACCTATTCTGGCAGAAGTTATAAAAACGGGTGAAAGTATCCACAATAAATTTTACTTGTGAAAAAAAACTTGACCAAGTTATACGTGAAAATAAAACAGAAAATCATAACAGAATTTCTTGTGGTTCACATAATTACGTTTTAATCTACAATTACAAATCAAATGCAGTGCTTGATGAACATTTCAATGATAAAGCCAACCATAAATTCTTATAATGTCAGTCAGTCAGTAACAACGTGGAACTTCGTACGTACGTACATCAATTCAAGTTGCCATACCACATTAGCAGAGAGATGCAGTTGTCGATTTAAATCCCATAGTGGTGGAGGTAGTAAAAGTATAAGTAGTAATCTGAAAGATTAGGGTTTCAAGATGTTATTTAAGGAGTATAATCCAGTGGAATAGATTTAGAAAGAAAATAAACGACATGAAGAATTCAGAAGATTATAATTTGGCAGAACACAAGGAGTGGATGTACCTGCGTCATTACAAACGATTTTGAGCCATGGCATTCAAAGTCTCTAACCATCGGCTGCTATCATCTCGCGGACCCCAACCAGGTAGTCTACACCTACCAATATGGCTCAGTCCACTTGTCAGTGACTTCATAGATTTGTGACATGTTTTGGTCTGGCCATCCCTAGCTTTCTTCCAACCTACTCAAACACCATAAAACATTGCATGTCGAGGCAGTTGGTGGTTGGGCATACGTAACACATGTCCCAGCCATCTCAACTGATGAAGTTTCACTACTTCATCAATTGATTTACCATCCTTACCTAGTAACCATTTCCTAACAACTGCATTCTTACTCGATGGTCCCAGGATATACGAGCAATGTTTCGGAGACATCTATGGCCGAATACTAGTAACCTACGAATATCCTCTACTATTACCGGCCATGTTTCACTGCCATAAAGTAGGACGGAACGAACTGCTGTGCAGTAAACACGTCCTTTGGTTGATAGACGGATATCTCGCCTACGCCACAAATGACACAAGTTGGCAAAAGTTAGTCAAGCCTTCTGTATCCGTGCTGAGATTACGTCGCACACCAGACCACAAGGGCTGATGAGACTTCCCAGATAAGTGAAGCGGTCGACACGCTCAACTATTTCACTCCCTATCTTACAATGTACTTAACAAGATAAAGACAAAGATCTCCGTGTAACAAATATCAAACTTGAGTGACTAGCAATACTTTTAGTCAACATTAACGTATCCAGTTCAAATTTACAGTCGTCATTATTACTTACATTTGAACTGATCAATTGTAGCAATTATTACACTCTACAATACTGGGATTTATTTAGTAGAAAGTTTTAAACATGATAAAGTATTGTTTCACTTTAAGGATAAAATTTTCAGATGAATACTGGGTATACTAAATAGTTGACTATTTAAAGCTCAATGATGAACAATATAAATATATATATCTCATAACTATCTAGACACGTTTACATACAGAAACGTGTCACACAAGTGAACTTAATAATTTAAATGAAATTCTAAAGAAAATTGCCTATATTTTCAAGAAATTTTACTCGATTAGGAAAAATGAATAATGTACATTTCGACATTAAATGATACATAAGTGAACATAACGAAGTGATCATTATGGTTAACTCTTATTGACCATATGAACGTGATTTTTTTATTTGATTATATTGACCCATATATTGTCAAAAACAGAGTGATAATATCAAACGACCCTTAAATCAAAGTTGGACATTGAACTTTAATGAATGATCACTTTATTTCTTTATCATAATAACCATATTAGTATTAGAGAAAAAAATAAAACAAACAGATAATTTAAATAAATAAATAGCAAATAGCACAAAAAGAGCACATTTCATACCAAGATTTGATACAGTATTCAATAATGTCATATAGGTTCCTCCAATAACTGGATCACTTATTTTGGCATTAAACGCTTGAAATTGCACGAATATAATTATTGCTGTAATTCTATCAAAAAGGAAGCCACTTATTAATATTGCATAAAATATCCATGGAAATGAATAAGTTGGTTTATCTTTCATTAAAATTAATGTATGATTATTATTATTAGCTGTGTAATTATTTAGTGTTGTCATATTCGGATTATTCATCATTAAGGTATCATTTGAAATCATTCGAAAATCCGGTATGAAATGGATAATTGGAATAAATAAACAATTTGACAGTAACCTGGATCATTTTCAAAGTAACAAACAAATAAACTTGAACAGTAATATCACGATAATAAAGTAATATTAACATTTCTGCAAAGTTGTTAAAATTACAATTTTAATGACATAATTTTCTAAATAAGTTAGCTCTTGCACAAGCAAGTGACTATCAGAACTCCGTTGCTAAGTGAATAACGAGATAGCATTTGAAGCGAACGATATTGGGTTCGAGTCCCAGAAAGGACATCAACTCTGAGATGCCGGTACACCCGGCTGACGAGTCCCGAATAGAACGAAACGCGCGTCCTGGATTCCACTGCTAGCCACTATCCATCTTTGCTTATAATGCTTGTGAATTAAGGCAATATCAAGGTAATACGCACAGTATGCACATATGCCAATAGAGACTGATTAATTGCAGTCCTAAACATCAATGAGGAGATTCAAGTAAGCAATACCAAGTGAATTTAATGAGCTAAACTTTGTTTATAATTACAAAATTCCTGCTTAGATTGTAATAGGCTAAGCCAATAAGATATAAACCAAATGATAAATATATGTTGACGAGTGCACACTAACGGCCAAAAGTTGGTTTAACTTTCTGAGAATAGTGACACGCTATTGGTTGAAAATGTGGTTTGATTTATTGGGGAAGATATATGTTTATAAGTGAGTTGTGAACATATATATAATCATAAGTTTTTGTTTACTTACTTAATTAGGCATGTTACTCCCAATGGAGCACAGGCCGCCAACCAGCATTCTCCAACCCACTCTGTTCTGGGCCTTCTTTTCTAGTTGCATCCAATTTTCGTTCATTTTTCTCATGTCTGTTTCCGTTTCTCGGCATAATGTATTCTTTGGTCTTCCTCTCCTCTTTTGGCCTTGAGGATTCCATGTGAGAGCTTGCCTTGTGACGCAGTTCGGTGCTTTCCTCAATGTGTGTCCTATCCAGTTCCAGCGCTTCTTTCTGATTTCTTCCACCGTTGGGATCTGGTCTGATCCCTCCCACAGTAGGTTGTTGCTAATAGTGTCTGGCCAACGGATCCAAAGTATTTCGCAAAGGTAACTGTTAATAAACACTTGTATCTTCTGGATGATGGCTTCCGTAGTTCTCCAAGTTTCCGCCCCATACAGTAGAACTGTCTTGACATTTGTATTGAAAATTCTGACTTTGGTGTTTCTTGACAGTTGTTTTGAGTTCCAGATGTTCTTCATTTGTAGATATGCTGCTCTTGCTTTGCCGATCCGCACCTTCACATCTGCATCAGATCCACCATGTCCATCAATGAAGCTAACTACCGCTATATGATTTACTATTCTGACAGTCGAATTCATGAGTCGATCTAAGCTAAATGTTATGTCTTGTGAATGTTTTCCAAAATCCTCGTCGCCCGTTGTTATGACTTGTGAATCGAATGCTACTTTGTGTCTGGTCGTCGCTGATTGTTATGTCGTATCACTAAACCACCGTGGAAAACCTGGAAGCGCTGGACGACCCGTGAATTCAGCTGTTAGAATTACTACAATCTCCACAAATACCCATCCTGATTTACTATTCTTAATCTGTTGCTATGTTTATTAATTACTGTTTTCCCTCACTCAAAGCTACTTTCTACCTTAATCAGATGTAGTTGTTATTTTCTATTTTACAGTGTAATGAGGTCAAGTTGTATATAAACTCTGTCTGAAACGCAAATATAGCGGAGGCTGGTTACTGATTCATGAACTCAAGTAGAGTGGAAGGAGAAGCTAGGGGATCGTGAATCAATAACAGCTTAGCGTCGATTCAAGATCATTGGTGCTGAACGGATTATGACTGGTGTTTCGTTACGTGAATTTAGAGAGCAGACCATAAGCCATAACACGTTCCGTATTCACTCTTGCTTTTCTCACTCAAGTCGCTGGCTGTGTTCCCGTATAAGAAACTAGCATATCAGTAGCAGACTAGAACGACCACAAAAAATAATAGATTGCATTGATGATGATGAAAATACAAAGTGATTACACCAGTAAAATCATATCAATCAGCAAAAATAATTACCTTGGTAAAAATACCAATAGACCCGTAGTCAATGGTTTTGGTCCAGTAGTAAAACGCACAAATAACAAGGGTAAAATAAATTCTATTGGCAAAAATCCAAAGTTTAATAATGCCAGTTTCTCTTTAGCGAGGCCCTGTTCGATTAGCTTCAAATTTGTAGCTGAATATGTACCAAAAGCACATACCTAATAATAGTAATAATAATGATAACAATAATGATAAAAAAATAACAACACAGTTAAACAGGTAAGTTGTTCTCAAAAACAGTGATATTTAACGAAAGAAATAATTGAGCACAACTGGTCGAGTTAGAGCTTATAGAGAACTCTTATTAAGATTGTTAACCTTAAATGGTATTCATCAAGGCTATCCAAGTTCTCTATTTTTGTTTAACTTCGTAATATGCAATTTTTTTTAGAAATAACTCTCTCGTAGCCTGAATTTTTAGTAGCTGATGTTTTACCAGGAAACTCACTTGTTGACTTAGAATAAGCAGATAGTATACTTTTTCCGGTGAAAACTCCAACAAAATGAAGAGTCTTTTATACCACCTTAAGGAACAATCCAACCATTTTTGGATGTGATTCTCCCTCTCTAAATGCGGAATGTTGCTCCAAGACTGGTCTGAGTCAACGTCTAACTTAATGATAGTCACTGAGGTAGTTGAGCGAGTCAACCATTTCACTAATCTTGGAGTTCCTCTCAGCCCTGGTTGGTTGTCTGATGAAATCTCGGTTGGCTGGTTAGGCATAAGGTATTAAGTAAAGATGGGAAATCCATTGATGAGGTAGAAAATCTTTATTAACTGAGGTGATTGAGAAATGTGTTATGTAAATACAAACACCGCCTACCTCGACTCCCGATAATGGCTGGCGTAGGAGCAAGCTGTTAAAAATCTAGGGGTGATCAAATCAAGACGTACTATCAGACTATAAATATACTAATTATTGGACTGAGATATAAAGCATGATGTAGATTACTTGACTGGGGTCCACCCAACCACCGTAACTAGCGGTGAGCGACTTTGGATAACATGGCTCAGGTGAGTTCATTCTTTATGTTCTCTTATTCTCTGAGTTCCAAAATTTCCTACTAAGTCTTCTCTCTTTCCTTCCATAGTTACTCTGTTCCAGTGTTACTGATCCTGCTACTATTACCACCGTAGGATTTGTCTTGAAACAATTTGATCTCATTGTACTAAAGTGTTGTGGCAACTTGAATTAATCCACATGTGTCAAGTTCTGTGTTGCATATGATCGACTGACTGACTTACAATTGTTTTAAATTACATGCATATTAGGGAGAGAAGCATCAGTAACCAAAATTTGTGAAATTGAAAAAAAGTTTTATTTTATTTCTAACAATAACTAATTGAAAGAAACCCTATGCAAAACGTAGTAGTATCATAAGTTAATCGACTAATGTAGATACTAGCATTCAAATCCCTCATCTATTATAATTTGACTCATAAGCTGGATTGCTCAACAGTCTGAGGAGAACATTAATTTTATTAGATATCAAAGCCAAAATTAATCATGTATAACTTCGACATTACCAATAAGTATTTGTGGATTTCTAGTCTGAGACAATCGCATTATCAGTAAACATTATAATTTACACGTACGTTTCACTAGTCTAAACTATCATTCACTAAGAACTCTACAGTATCAACGTTAAAACTCGAAAAAATCTACCAATTATGGTCAACACTCATTTCGAGAACGAAGGATCGTTTTATAATTGAATGGAATTGTGCGAAGCTTGCATTAAATTAAGTATCATTGAATTCATAGTTATTGAATAGACAGCCACAATTACAGGGAAACTAGAACATACTTCACACTGTAAATAAACCTCGGGAAATATACTTCATACATTTTTGAAAACCAAAATAATTGTTAGTGAAACAAAAGATTGGAAAAACCGACAAAGTATAATTAAACAGAGAAATGAATGATCAATGGCTGTTTTACAACCTTCAATGTTATTCTTGATCAATCATTTATGACCTGTTACAGTCCTATCTTAGTCGAATATTCTTCATATCCATGACAAACTCAAGTTTTATGATACGTTAATTCAGTCTGTCAATGATTTCCACTTCCGAATTCTACTGATTAAGGTCCTAAAAATTGGTTATTTGAGCAAATCATCAGTTTCACAATTTACATTACTTCAGTACATCATTAATCGATGGCGCATTTATAACCTTAAAAACTGGGAAGAATCGGTTAAAACATAGTGTACCAGGAAAGTTTTAAGGGTTATATTCAATACAATATATTGAAAATATTGGAAATTGAAAACATTGTCAATTTAGTTTCAGTAAGCATAATTCACTTGATGAATTAGGGTCGTCCATGCACCCAAAATAAAAACAGTATATTTAATTGAAGTCTTGTTCGAATGATAAGGAAAAATATTGTCTTTTATTTAACTGTTGTCTAACTAAGGATACTAGCACGATCTATATTTTTTCCTAAAAAACAAACAAACATTTGTGTTCTGAAAAGAAAATTGAAAGTGAACACATATTTCCCATTGCTTCAACGCCTTTTATTCAGGGATTTAAGAATCATAGATTTGATATGTGAGTTAAAAACCTCACGAGAAAATTGACGTACCAAACTAAAAAGATATAAACTACAAAGAAACTGTTCGCAATTTTTAAAGAAGTATAGAATATCAGATAACCAAAACAATATTTGATCTATAACCAAACAATAATTCAAAGAAGTTATAAAATAAACTGAAATATATTGCTATAAAAATAACTGAAAATTAGTATGCAAGTTTGAAACGTATACTGAATTGGTCAAATATGAACACTAGTTACGTCAGATTAAAAATACAACGATATATATTTAAACTGAACGTGAATGCTCACGATCAAACTGATTTGGCTTAACGAATAAAATGTTGAAGGAAACCTTCAACTAAGTTGGTGAATAAAATAGTGAGCTAATTTGCATAAATTTCTTTAAAAATCGAACGTTTGATTCATCAAGATCAACATTATAAGCTTCCGTTTTGTACAGTATACATATCTGAAAATTATGCAACAAACTGAATAATACACAATAAAGGACTATGAAAGCTTAGGTTGCGGATTAATGCCTATTGAGTATATAAATATAGTTCTGTATATTACCCACTGAGAACAAATTCAGATTAAAATAATTTAACTTCGCCAGTAATAATTTAAAACAGAAAGAAGATATAGATTCCTTTCTTAAACAATCATACGGTATCACGTACACAAAAAAATCAATTAACATGGATAATTAATATAACTGCTTTACTTGCCTTTGCTGAAATTATCATTATCAAATACAACGCGACAGGCTTCAGTTGAATAACACCAATAATAGTCTTATATGTATTAAGTAATGAGACTTTTTCACTTCCGTCTGTTTGTTCATTTTTATTTGCCGTCTGTTCAATGTTCAATGAGTGTGTCGAGCATTTCGATTTACTGAATAAACAACTTTTTACGAAGTGGCGTATAGTCCCATCCAATGTTGAGCCTTTTTCATGTTTAAATATTACCAAAACTGTGTTAAATATTATGAAACAAAAACCCCATACATAGAGAAAACCTATTTAAAAGCAAAAAAATATCAAATAATTAGCAATACGTAGGAAAATAAAAGCCATTTCTTTACAGTGCTCAACAACAAAATATCAAGTCCACACTTGATACGATAAAAGAAAATCTATTATGTACAAGTATCTATCAAAACTGCAATGTAACCACATTAGAATAATCATGGTTATATAAACCGTATGACTGATAATCTGGTATCTCAAACATAACTTGATATTTTATCAAAATCGCCCTAACAATGATTACCATAAGAATGATTCTGACTTTCACATATCACTGATATACAAAGAAAGTTCAAAAAACCTAAACATCTGATTAAATCACAATTATTAATTATACAATAATAATAAAATTTGCAAAACTATTTCATGATCTTTCAGCACAATATATACAAACCGGAAAATGTTATTAATCCTTTGTCTTCTATAGGTGTTCGTCTAAGATATTTGTTAGGAATATCAGGAGACTCTAAGCAAACTAAAGGAATAAATGCTAACGCATGACCAAGGCTCTGTCCAACTTTATTACAAGTAGAAGCCCAACCAACATTCTTCCTAAAAAATTTTAATAGATAAAAATAAAATATTGTATGAATTGAGTTTAACATATTATTAAGGTATGAATTTAAAAAATCTAGACAGATTTTTGATGTCTAATTGATGGAAATATAGTTATTTATTATCTATTTACTAGTTTACTAAAAATAAATCACAATTAATGAACAAAAATTGGACAGAAAATACACATAATAATGAGAATGGCACCAAAATATTGTATATGATGAGTAAGGACTTAAAGATGTTACAGATTTCAGCTCTTAACAAATTTCTAACTGAGAAACCTAAAACCAGTCAACGCAGAATTCAGCAAAGAAGGAGTTCGATTATATATTTGGAAAACAGTCGATGCGCAGTGAAGTATATGATCTAAGCTGACTAGTTGTTTTATTGTCAATTAACGATAACAGGAAACATTAAATTTCGTAATACCTAGATCTGAAATCATCTAGTTTTATGATGATTGGAGATTTCTTCTAAATAAATAGCTTAGGATTATTTGCATGATCAGAGGTTTTTATTCAGTTAGTTAACCTCTGAAATTATTCACAAATTTATCTAGACAACTAAGAAATATAGACTAAATGGTTATCTTTAAATAACATAAGGCTATAACATTGCTCAAAAATGATTTTTATTAGCAAATGATATATTTCCAGTTGTAAGTGATAAACAATAACGAATGTAATCTTTCACATTAAAACGAATTCATTCAAATCAGTCCGACAGACATCTAAAATGTAGAATCAGTTACATAAATCCATTGGTCCAAGTTGCCATATTTCAACAGTACAAAATGAGGAAATTCATAGAAGTAGTCACTTCAGTGGTAGTAATACATATAAATAAATATAGCATATAAGGAATTGATACAAATAGACAGGATTGGTTCGTAGAAAGAAATGTATAAAGTGATTTTAACATCATGGTTTAAGGGAACATGAAGAGTGTATACACTCACGTCATTGTGATCGATTCTGAGCCACGTCACCCAGTCTCAAACTACTCGTTGCGATAGCCGCACGGACCCCAACCAAGTAGTCTGCATCTAACAACATGGCTCAGACTAGAAATTGGTGACTTCATGAACTGATATCGTGTTTTCGTTCGGCCACTTCAACACCAGTCAGCATTACGCGTCGCGGTAGTCGGTGGTTGGGCATGCGTGATACATGGCCCAACCATCTCAGCCGATGTAGATACACAACCTCATCAACTGATTTACCATCATTCCCTAATACCCTAAGCCTAAACTCACTATTACTTAACCGTTGATTTCAGATGTAAGCAATGTTTCCAGGACATCTGTGATCAGATACTAGTAACTTACCAGTATCCTATAAACTTAATTGCCCACGTTTCGCAGCCGTAAAGTAAAACAGAGAGAACTGCTGCGCAGTATACCCGTCGTTTATATTTACAGACGGATATCCGCCTTCGCCATAGGTGACGTAGGTTGGCAAAATCCAATTGAGCTTTCTGAGGTTGCCAAAAACAGATAACAGTTCACCATAAGCTCTGACTCACCAGTAGCGTTCGATCAAAGAGCCCTCACAAGGTTTATGTACTTCTGAGGTACACCTTCCAATGATAGACACCGCCACAGAACCTCTCGGTCTACAGAGTCAAATGCTACTTTTAAGTCGAGAAAAACTATCATTGTCGGATGCCGATAAGCATGCCTATGTTCTAAAACTTGACAAATGGTGAACATGTAGTCGATGCAGCTACGACCAGGTCTGAAGTTAATTTGGTTTTTTCGTATTTGAAGTTCACGAGTCTTTGTTAGGCGCCCGATAATTATGGAGACTAGTATTTTAGACACCATATTAGTCAAACCACTCCGTCTATGGTTACCACAGGATGATTCTGATCCCTTCTTATATATTGGGACGACCAGTGATTGCGATCAGTCAGATGGGATTACGTCCAGTTCCCAGATTTGGGCTAAATTATTAGTTAACCTAATCACTAAAACTGAGGCATTATCCTTAAAGACCTCTGGAGTTAATCTACTTGGATCAGTTGTTCTTCTTTATTTCAGATTATCTATAGCTTTTTGAACTTCAATTAGAGTCGAGAAGCTTACTTCAATGTTCCGTTCAGATTGTTTGGAAATGATGGGTAGCTGTAAAGTAAGTAGCTGATGGCCAGTGGAGCTGCTCCTTAAGGTATTCTGGCCATCGTTCTAAACATCTAGACTGAGGGCATATAAGGGTGCCGTCTTTTTCCGAGATCATCTCACGCTTGACTTTTTAATCCCAGTTTCTTTCATTATTCTGTTGCCTACAGCTGATTCCTCCTTCATCTCTTTTGCTTTTGTTGCCCGCCACTGCTCACGATCGTTCTGTAGACTTTTGGTCTGATTTGTTTTCTCTCTTCATCGTGTTCAGAGCCTGATGTGGTAAGTTTGCGAGAGTCTACCAGTGCAATAGATGTTGCAGAAATTCACTGGTTTTTCGTAACCCTTTGGTTCAAATCACTAATAGATATTGCTGTTGTTTCCACAGCTGATCGTATATCTTCCTAAGCAACATATGCGTCAGCCCCGTCTTCAAAATTTCTCAAGTGTGACTTCAGTTTCTCCTGGAATTGGCCTTGCCTTTCTCATCACTGAGTTCAACTCTAATAAATCTTCTTAATGTAGCTTTTCTGAGTCCAGTGAGGCACAGGCAGACGCTTCTATGACATTATTACATTTTAAGAAGGAATAACCTCAAAACAGTAGATTATTTATAACTGTTGTTTTTAGACATTTGATTTCATTAAACTAGTCGGTGCAATTTATGAGTCAGTGATAACTACCAAAACAGTTGAGGTAGAATAATTCATTATTATTTCGTGGTTTCCTATCAGCTGCTTACAACCATATATGGATTGAAAGGTAAGTTTGAGGTATGGTACAATGTGATACAGTTGACGTTGATTACGTGAAGAATTAGATCAATTGCGTGGGATAACAACCAAATAGACAACATAACTGCTAATCATAGTAAGTAGAAAGTATAAATCGATGGAGTGATGCTAGGTGTAATGGTTCTGATAAAGTAATGAATATTGGAATCAATGTTTCATAATTGGAACTAGGTCAGAAAGCTGAAAAACATAACACTAAAATAACATTTACTAGAAATTACCAAAACCACGTAGTAAGAATTGTTCAAATAACTAGACAGTGGAGGGGTGAAGAAAAATGAACGAACAAAATTGGCCAATAAAGAGATAAGTGTGTTATAAATTTCTTACGTAAAGAGAGCTTTTTAGTGTTAGCCTGACTTCCCATAGCTACTGTTATATGTGGGAAACGAGGTTTATACATAAACCTTTCATAATATTTATCAAAATCAATATAGTTGGTTGTTCATGATCATGGATCGATTAGAGTTAGACTAACACCGGATGCCGCCTCAGTAGTTAGGTTAGGCGTTTGCGCACGAGAACGACGGTCCTGGGTTCGAGTCTATCGGTGCGGGATCGTGAATGCGCACTGCTGAAGAGTCCCATACTAGGACGAAACGACCGTCTAGTGCTTCCATGTTTTCAATGGTGGTCTCGTTTACATCAACTCATAAATCGGACTATTAAAGTTACAATATAGTTTTGTTGAAAAAATTTCAAAGTACTGGCCTAATAGTTGAACCACTAAATTTTCTACTATTAGATCCCAGTTTTGAGCCTCATTCTATTTACCTTGATTTTGGATGGTGGTATCATTAGGTTACACATACATACATAAAGGTGTAGCAGAAAGATCTGAATATATACCTGTAAGTAAATTATACAATTCTTATTATTGATTATCATCAAACAAACAAAATCTATCCAACAGTAAACTAAATGATTTTGTTACACAACATTGAGACCAATTTGTTGTAAATGAAAATTATTCTAGCTGACTTAATTTCCTTAAAACAAGCACTGATAATTGAATTATTTCCTGGCTTATATGTGACATCAAGGCAGATTAAACGAAAACCAGTTAACAATGCATAAGAAAAAAATAAACAGAAATACCATATAAACATGAAAAATAGGGAATTACATTGAAACAGCTGTGGCTAAAATTTATTACTGACACTTGCTTCAGTCCTAATAAAATGTTCTTACACCCTAATTATGTGCACTTCTCAACAATGATATATTCTATATAAGTTTCTTATTACAATCCTCGATTCATCAATAAGTATTGTTAAGTTGCTTAAGTAAAAGCACTGATATGAACTAGTGAAATGACTGCAACAATTATTATGACAATCAAATGATTTTCAAAGTTTAAATCACGAACTGACCGTAGCCAAACCAACATTGCAAATCTGAAAACCCTAGACAGCTATTTCTTCCTAGCACGGAACTCCTCAGCAGTTCGCAGTCTCCACCCCGCGTCCGGAAGTAGAACCCAGGATCTTCGTTCTCGAGCTTGAACGCTTAGCATCTAGTCCACTGCGCCGACATCCAATGGTATTGATGTTTAAATCTAATCAATTCACGACATTATGCAACCATCATTCATTGCCTGTGATAAATGTTCACTGCTGAGAAGTCCCAGACTACGACCAAACTGCGGTTCAGGGCTTCCAGGTTTCCAACGGTCCCTAGACTTCATGATTCAAGCTATGAGAATTCTACAATCTCCACAAACCCTCTCATTCTAATAAGTACATAATTATTTGAGTGAAGAAAATTATGAAAGTGATTCAATGAAAAGAAAGACAACTGACAGAAATTTGATCAAATAAATTAAACACCGCAAACAAAGATTGTTAATTTGACAAGTTCACTCCAAGTTATTTGTTAACATGATATAAGAAAAACTTAAAATTGAAGGGGTCACCATTTGGCTAACTATTCATTCAATATCTGTTTATGAATTATTAATTCAATAAACTGTTAACCAAGCGTCCATTCAGATTTGATACGCTTAGTTTATTTATAAAGTTATTGTTGACAAAATCATTAAGGCTACTGATAAAATGTTCATAACCAATATTCAAAAATTAAAAAACACATTTCCTAAAAACGTAAATTGTTGCTTCACAGCTAAATTGAGTTAACACCGGAACTACTGATAATTAGTTCAGTAGCTGAGCATGTCAATCTCTGTACTTAACTTAAAAGCCCTGTTAGGTTGATGCCGGACAAAATGTCGAACATCGTTATAGTGTTCTTCTACTCAAACAGCTAGGCACGTAAAATTTCTTAAGCTACATACATCAATGAAAGTGTGAGTATTTGCTGTTTATGAATAAGTACTACATATCAGAGTTTGCAAATAAACCTCATATATATAACGGTAAATATTTAACTGGAATTTGAGGTTGTTATGTCTCAGTGGTTTGTTGTCAAATTCTCTGTAATTATTAGTAATACACTGACATAATGGATGACCACATAAGATGAAGGCAAGTAAAAAAAACATATTTCACTTGAAAATATAAAAGAAAAATCAACCATTGTTTATGTGTTGGTTACATATGTATGAACTACTTTAGGTCTTAGTATTTAAGGACGAGACTATCTATTGGGGTAAACTATAATTGTAAACTGAATATTAGGAAGGATTTTAGATATCCTGTATTTAATAATAAGGATAGGAATTTGAACAGCTTTGGTCGGCACGTGTGCAACCCGTGTGGATTACCTCGATGCATACTTTATGTTATAAGTTATATAGAACAGAAGGGTAATAGCAATTATTGGGATCCAGGACGCCCGTTTCGACCTATTTGGCACTCATCATCTGGATCTACCTCCATCTTTATGATGATGCTCAGATTCCGATATGAACATCAACACAGGTTCAGGTATGTCCAAAGGACGAGTGTCAAGTACGACAAAACACTCGTGTTGAATTTTGCTACGAGTGACAATTTTTCTTTTCTATTTATACAGAATATCTTGCACGTTTTAACTGCTACATCTCAAAATCAGTAAATGCTTATTCATATTTATTATAGAGTAGGTAATGGTGGCCGCCTGTTGATACTGTGCTCAGACTATCGTTTATTTCTAACAAGCACCAATTTTAAGCATAAGAAAAGATATCGTTTATAACCAACAGATATAAGTAATTTACTGTTTTGAGGTTATTCCTTCTTAAAATGTAATAATGTCATAGAAGCGTCTGCCTGTGCCTCACTGGACTCAGGAAAGCTACATTAAGAAGATTTATTAGAGTTGAACTCAGTGATGAGAAAGGCAAGGCCAATTCCAGGAGAAACTGAAGTCACACTTGAGAAATTTTGAAGACGGGGCTGACGCATATGTTGCTTAGGAAGATATACGATCAGCTGTGGAAACAACAGCAATATCTATTAGTGATTTGAACCAAAGGGTTACGAAAAACCAGTGAATTTCTGCAACATCTATTGCACTGGTAGACTCTCGCAAACTTACCACATCAGGCTCTGAACACGATGAAGAGAGAAAACAAATCAGACCAAAAGTCTACAGAACGATCGTGAGCAGTGGCGGGCAACAAAAGCAAAAGAGATGAAGGAGGAATCAGCTGTAGGCAACAGAATAATGAAAGAAACTGGGATTAAAAAGTCAAGCGTGAGATGATCTCGGAAAAAGACGGCACCCTTATATGCCCTCAGTCTAGATGTTTAGAACGATGGCCAGAATACCTTAAGGATCAGCTCAACTGTCTACTGCAACTGTGCTTAGACTACAATCTGTTTCTGGCTAACGCTCACTACTGACACATCAATCGCCGATCTGCTACCTGGCATCCCACCTCTGCATCACAAACCTGGACTCAGATTGATCACACCGCCATCAGATACCACTGACGTGGTTGTGTACAACACTACTGCTCCTTTTTGGACTAACTATCTCAACTCTAATCATGCCCTTCTTTGCGATAATCTTACCTTACGTTCCACTGGCCAACAAATTCATCGTCCGAAACGGATCGATCTCAGCAAATCGGTTGCAGCTGCTGTTGCAACTAAATATCAAACTGAGCAAGGTTCAAGGCTAGCTACTAGCCCACCGAAATGTATAGACAAGCAGTGGTTGCAATTGCATGACACCATGAAAATGGAGAGTAAAGTCGCTTGACGCTTCGCGAAACATACCACTTATGGGCACTATGTTTCTTCAGACTCCTTACAACTCATTGAAGCTCGTCGGTCTACTCCCAGTGACAACGAATTTGACCACAGACGAAGACTTTTATGTGGTAAAATTGTGCAAAGCTTGTGAAACGACCGAGAAGCCTGGTGGTCGGGGTATGACAACGAGTTGGAAGCAGTAGCTGCATTTGGCAACCTCCGGAAGATCTCTCAACTCATCCGAGTCACCGGCAGCGACAAGTCTGGAGTGAGAAAAACAATCTGCGAGGATGACAGGATGCCAGTCACTAACACCCATCGACGTCTTGGACGATGAGCGGAGTTTTTCGAGGAGCAATTCAACTGGTTTGCTGCCCCGGAAACATCTATCTGACTATCCTGCTCTTCATGGCCTGTGACGACTGATCCACCCAACAAGGTGGAAGTCTGCAAAGAAACTCCAACTCTTGAAACGCTACAAATCAACAGGCCCATATGACTTGCTCCGGCCCTTTTTAAGGATGGTGGCGACCTTCTAGTTAAGGAAATGACTGAGTTGTTTACAAGGGTCTGGCAATTAAAGAGGGTTTCAACATCGTTCAATGATTTGATAGTTGTCCCTATCTTTAAAAGGGGTTTACATCGTTTCTGCAAAAATCAAACGGCGACAAGTCTACGTCCGATCGCGTCCAAACTACTGGCTTCCGTCATATTTCGTAGATTGTTCAAGATCCGAGAAAGATTGACTCGCGAGGAGCAGGATTGTTTTCGTTTTGGTCGAGGATATATTGATCATATCTTCACCCTCCGCCAAGTGTTAAAACACCGTCATATTTATCACAGGTCAACAACCATAGTGTTTCTTGACATTAGTGATGCTGTGGTGCATGCTACTGATTTCGATAGGTAGGGCTTCCCAACCTCACCATTCCTCTTCAACTTCGCCATCAATTACGTTCTGGAAACAGCTCTGGTGGATGTAGGTAATGGTGGTGCGGATCTGTTGCCTGGAGAAAGACTTCTCGACCCTGAATATGAGGATGATATTGTCTTACTGTGAGATGATACCCAAGCCATGCAATCCGCACTCAGCCAGTTGGCAATCAGTTTCCGTACGTATGGCATGTGCTTCGCACCTTCCAAGTGCAAAGTACTTTCATAAGACTGATGGGACCCTGTTCCTCCACGTCGTGCATTATTTATCGACACTCGGACCGGTTGGAAAAAGCGGAGAGGTGGTCAGTGTATGACAGTGTCGTGATATGAAAGAAAGCTGTACAGGACTGGTTTTTGTTGGTCCCTCATGACTCTATGGTTGGCGTCATAGAGATGGTGCAACATAGTGGCGACCCCGCTGTAACTTTCTTCATAAAAGTGAACGTAACTTCTTTCTGGTTGAATTTTTCCTAACTGAACTGTTTCTCCCGTTATTACTATTATTATTATTTCACTCTCATACACTAATTTCTGTTTGTTATCCTTCTTTTTATTATACACACTTTACGTTCTGTTTCTTCAGTCTCATTGTTATTGTGTGGCGCACCTGTATTTGGTGCCCCCTTGTACCAATGTTTGTGTCCAAATACATAAAATAACAAACATAAAACAACGTACTTCGATAGCATTGTCAAGGCCCAGCCATCAACCGCAATATCTTGTGTAGCTGTCAGAAATGTAAGTACGAAAAATGTTATAGTTAAGCGTATTATATCCACTGGATGATGTGATCCTAACTGACTCCACGCTTTGTTGGGGTCTCGTCCAAACCAATCATCGATACAACTTGCTAGCACAAGTAACTCAATCCCAATTGTATACTGAGTTATTATGAGCCACGTTTTCCGTCTTCCAATAAAATTGACGTAAATTGAATCAACTATTGGAGCCCAGAGAAGTTTCATAGAAAAAGGCCAAGCTGATATTGAAAATGTTGCTTGTAAATTATAGCCACCCATACGGTAATTTGATTGAAGAAGAAATGGAATCGAAGCAGAAATGCCGATAGAAATGCCCTATTAAAAATTATCAAATGATTTGGATTGGTCGAAAATAGAGCTATTAATTTTCATCTGTACATCGAAAATTGAGGTCAAGAATTTTTTTCCCTAAAATACGAGGAAATTTGTACCTAATATTGTAATATAACAATTGATTTTATGAGCTTTATTATAGGCTTTATTCACTAACTGTTATTAACTTTAAAAGGTCGTGTTCCCTTAACGTATTTAACTCGGCTTTTACAAATTTTTTATTAAGGCTGTTGAATATTCACGGTCTTTACTAAGCTAACGAACCAATGTATATAAAACACACCAGGACCAACGATTTACTATGAAGCGCTTTGATATAATCAAATCACCAAATCACAGTTGGAGCGATAAGACAGTGTTCAGAAAACTGAGTTTTATTGGTATCTCGAATAGGAATATATTTTAGCAATGAGCGAGTAGAATTGGAACATTGACACCAGATTTGCTAACATTATAATTCTAAAAAAACGATCTAAAACAATGAAAGGCATTTTTTTAAGACAACTAGGAGGTTATGCGTATTCAGTTACATGTATGTAGTCTGTGCCGGATAGAAATTTTCCTAAGGGAAAGTACTGAAAGTAAATTCGAAGACAAGCTCGTGAAGTCAGACATACTACAATGGCTACTATTAGAATAAGCGACGAATACAATATTAAATACGTTAAAAGATACCCAGAAAATAGTGGCAGTAGCAATTTTTAATGGTTTCAGCTATCGTGTGGGGCTTTATGTACCGAAACCTTTATATAAATATGTATATCTCACTTAAATAGTCGAATTAAGACTGCCCAATCAAAACTATCGGAGTATCTTTTAGTTACCTTCAATTTTTTGGCTTGGAAAAGCAATATATAGACTGCAATCATTCAATCAGAGTGACAACAAACGTCTCTACACAGTCACTTAAAATCAGATCTCATGAGTTCCCAAGTAATAACACTCTTGTTTACGATTAAAACATGCATTTCAGCCCCCTGGTCCCTTCAGCTAGATAAAACTACCGTCAAATGTTGACCATGGTCAGCAAATGAGTATGCTGACAAAATTCAGTCGATTTGTGTAGCTAAAATAGCTCATATGAACACATTTTAGTCTCCAACATGAAAATTTATAACTGTAACCGGATTGAATACTTTGACACTGAATAAAAAAAGAATAATATCTAAGTAAAGATATTGAATAAAATCGATCATGTACGACCGATGTTTTCACCAACCTGAAAAATATATAGTAGTATTAGTAGAAGAATTGCTGGAATATCTTGATACGAAGTAAAAGAGGTGCACAGCCTTTTGAACCTAGATGGAAACATTATAAGTGATCCGTAATGTTCGGAGAGTCACGATAAAAAAGCAAAACACTCTCAGAATCACCCGCTGTTTCGTCCCAATGACCTTGAACCGAATACTTTACTGCGACCAGCCCGTATTTGAATTCCTCCAGGTTGGTCGAATGCCTGTTATGCTATTTGAATTTCATGTGTTCTCGAATTTATGTGGTCCGCTGCAGCGTGAAAATCACAAAGTCTTTGGAAAAAACGTAAGTTAAGCTTTCTCTTTCTTTTAAAATACACTTTGGCTCACTCCTTGCTTTGTAGTGACCTACTTTTGTCAACAGAATGCGATTAGTTCAATGAAAACAATTATTATTATAACCAATTGTACCAGTGACTGTTTTATTGTGCTCGTTTGTTTAACTGTGCTAATAACAGCCATTTTGGGTCTTCCATTGTCCGTGAGGTTGTCCTCAATTCCAATGTGCCCAATGTTTACGATCGTCTCAAGGAGGCGATCCTCAGGCATTTCCTCCCATCGAGGGAGAAACGACTGAGGACGTTATTAGCACGTCACCCCTTGGGTGATGCTAAACCGAGCCACCACCTCACGCGCCTGCAATCTCTTGCAGGACCCACGGCAGCCGATTCTGAATTTGTTAAAGAACTGTGGCTCGAATCTCTACCAGCATTTATCCAACCTACAATTACGGCCCTGCTCGAGGACGCACCACTGAAACAGGTAGCCCTCACAACAGACAAAATTCCAGCTAGAACTGGCAACTGAGAGAACTACGTAGTTGCCTCAACGTCGCGTCCGAAAGTCGATATCGACGGCAGCCACTCCTCGGCTCAAGATGACAGGGAAGGGTGTATTCACACATGTCTTAGTTTACGAGACCGTTGTAATGTACCCCAACCCTACGTCCCTCGAGTCCGCTCACGCTCTCGAAAAGCCATCAACACTCGCCCAACGAGGGCATCTTCCAAGCCACGCCAAAAGGCGGCTTCGGAAGCGAGTGCAGGTTGGTGCTGGTTTCATCGATCTTTCGGATCTGGTGCCCGCCGTTGTCGGGCCCCGTGCTCATTCAAGGCGGGAAACTCCAAAGCCGGCGAGTAAAAGACGCCGTACTCGCCGGCCCTGCCCCCCAGGTTGGCCGTTTATTTTACGTGCACGATTATCGCACAAACGCTAGGTACCTAGTGGATACAGGTGCCCAAGTTTCTGTCGTACCACGTGGTAGCATCAAGTCACAAGCTACAATGCTTCGACTACGCGCTGCAAATGGCTCAGCCATCCCTACCTACGGTACACGACAACTCGCGGTCAACCTGGACAACCGACGACGGTATCTGTGGACGTTCATCAATGCTGATGTTCCCACAGCCATACTAGGTATTGATTTCCTACAGCACTATGAATTGCTAGTCGATTCACGGAGGCTGCAGCTAATCGATACTTCGTCGAACAGTAAATTCATAGGTTTTAAAGCTCACACAAACGCGTACCGAATCCTCGGAACTTTTTATTCGCGCGACGATAAATTTCACGCTTTATTCGAGAAGTTCCCCAGAATAACTAAACCACTCGAGGAGATTTCATCGGTGATCAATCGTGTGGTACACCACATAGTCACCCGCAGACCACCAGCCACGGTAAGACCACGCCGACTGGCACCGGACAAATTAGCCTTCGCTAAAGGTGAGTTTGACAATCTACTATCTGCTGGTATTATTCGTCCTTCTCACAGTCCTTGAGCCTCTCCTCTTCATATGGTGAGCAAAAAGGATGGGGTTAGTTGGAGACCGTGCGGCGACTACCGAGCATTAAACGTAGTTACGCGCTTTGATAGCTACCCCATCCCCCACATACACGACATCACGGCATCGCTCAAGGGCACGACTATCTTTTCTAAAATCGATCTGGTACGAGCATATCACCAGATCCCAGTCGCTCTTGAAGACATCGAGAAAACTGCTATCACGACTCCTTTCAGTCTGTTTGAGTTCCTACGAATGCCATTTGGATTACGGAATGCTGCTCAAACTTTCCAAAGGTTTATCGATAGCATAGTACGAGACTTGGATTTTGTTCACGTCTATATTGATGACCTGCTGATCGCATCATCAAACGTAGATGAACATTATCAACACCCTACTCTATTATTCCAACGTCTTTCGGATAATGGAATAGTAGTCAACCCAGAGAAATGTCAATTGGGTAAATTAGAAATAATATTTCTGGGTCACATCATCAGACAAGAGGGTATTCTGCCTTGCGAGGACAAAGTTCGAGCAATCAAGGAGTACAAAGTGCCGTCCTCAATCAAGGAACTGAAGGCTTTTCTCGGTTTGGTTAACCTGTACCGACGTTTCATCCCTCACGCGGCAGGACGGTTACGACCATTAACCGATTTACTACGCGGTAATCCACGCAAATTAGAATTGAACGATACCGCACGTACTGCATTCTCAGAGATCGAAACGACTCTCGCTGAAGTTACACTTCTCGCTCATCCTAACCCATCAGCCACGCTTAGTATAGCGGTTGATGCATCGGATTTCGCCATAGGAGCCGTTATGCAACAGAATATCTCCGGTAGTTGGCAGCCGCTCGAATTTTTCTCACGACGACTTACTCCCACGGAGACGAGATATAACGCTTATGATTGCGAACTGCTAGCAGCCTACTGTGCCATCAAACATTTCCGCACGCGGTAGAAGGTCGTAATTTCATCTTATTCACCGACCACAAACCCTTAACGTATGCCCTGCATACCAAGTCTGACCGCTATTCACCACGAGAGTGCAGACATTTGGACTATATCTCCCAGTTCACGACAGACCTTCGTCACATTAAAGGCGTGTCGAACTATGTTGCCGATGCTCTATCACGTATCCAGACGAATGCAGTTACCTTACCGGTGCTCGGTCTTCCTGCTATGGCCGCCGCGCAAGCAAACGATCCTGTCTGTACAGAGGCACCACAATCTTCATCCCTTCAGTGTCAGGAAGTATACCTAGCTACTAGCTCAGGTACTATCCTATGTGATATTTCTACCGGTCTTCCTCGACCCATCATACCCTCTACCTATCGCCATCTCGTCTTCGATGCCGTACATGGATTGTCCTATCCAGTTATCGCAGCCACATTACGTCTCATCGCTGCACGATACTTCTGGCCGTCCGTGAATAAAGATATTCGTATGTGGGTAAAGCAATGCTTACAGTGTCAACGATCAAAAGTGCACAGGCATGTAGCTGCCCCCATTGGCACATTCGCTACTCCTGATGCTCGCTTCGATCACGTTCATATAGACATCGTAGGACCATTGCCACTATCGCATGGGTATGATCACATACTCACGTGCATCGACCGTTTTACATGATAGCCCGAAGCTATTCCCATCACATCTATTACGACGGAGACAGTTGCTCACCGCTTCGTAGAACGATGGATAGCACTGTGCGGTTGTCCCTCGACTGTCACGACTGACCGAGGACAACAATTCGAGTCCGCATTATTCTCCTCACTGACCCGGCTGCTTGGTACGGAACGTATACGCACCACCGCCTACCATCCAGCATCGAATGGTTTAGTTGAAAGGTTTCATTGCCAACTTAAAAATGCTCTTCAAGCACACGAAAACGACAGCTGATGCGAAACCTTACCGCTCGTTCTCTTAGGTATCAGAACGAGTTTGAAGGGAGATATGCAATGTTCCGCCGCTGAACTTGTATACAGCACGACATTGCATCTGCCTGGGGAATTCTTCACACCACGGAGCAGTAATGATTTCGGTAAATCAGACTACGTCCATCGACTGTCTGCACTAATGCGAACGCTGTCTCCGGTGTCAACTCGGATACAACATCGACAGGTCGCTCTCCCTCGAGAGTTATCTACCTGTTCACATGTTTTCATACGAGTAGATTCGGTACGCAAACCTCTACAACAGCCTTACGAAGGCCCTTTTCACGTGATCTCTCGTCACGAAAAGACCTTCAAGGTTGATCGACACGGCCGCGTCGAGATCGTCAGCATTGATCGTCTCAAACCAGCACACGTCGATGACAGTGCCCTACCCGATAGCTTGGGACTCAATGCTAGACCTATCAAACCTTCTAGCGGGATCTCTACGTCTACCTCGGATCCCACGCTAGATACATCAGAGACCTCGTTCTCACGTCCCGGTCAACAGCACGCGTCATCTGCACCATCTACGGACGAGACTTCCGTCTCACGTCCAGATCAGCAGACCACGCCGCCCTTGACCTCGGATGAGATCGCAGGCTCACGAAGTACGAACGAGACTACCGTCTCACGTTCCGGTCGCCGAGTACGATTACCCGTACGCTTTTGCGACTAACCGCACATTCAATAACAGATACGGTGTAGGATTATTCCTATACTACACACATGCTACACTTTTCTTTTTTGATTTTTTTTTGTATCCCGAGCCCACGCCTCCGACCATCGCCCGTTTGGTAACGTCGACTTCAGTCAACTTTGGTAAAAGCTGGTTTGGCCACCCACGCTCTAGTCAACGCACTCAGTCGATTATCTGGTCTCGAATTCGCCTGGCATACGCTTAGTCGTTATGGTCTCTTCCGGTTTATTGGCTCAACGTTGTTTCGTCCTACGTCTGCAGCGTTTTCTGGCCCGCATCCATACGAACGCAATCATCAGATCCTGGATACAAACCACTCTGGTTTGGTAAGCTAGTTCGACCAACAAGTACAGCACACTTCTGGTATCGTTCTGCGCAAAGGACCTTCGTTGGCAACTCGAGGATCAACGATCACTTCCTGTTCCGCCAATTTCCTCCGTCCTACAACCGCAATTCTGCCGATCAGTCCCACGAATCAAACCACTAACTATCGAAAGTGTAAACCCTTTCTAGCGGGGGGCTCCTGTAGTGACCTACTTTTGTCAACAGAACGCGATTGGTTCAATGAAAATAATTATTATTATAACCAATTGTACCAGTGACTGTTTTATTGTGCTCGTTTGTTTAACTGTGCTAATAACAGCCATTTTGGGTCTTTCACTGTACTCCATTACTTCTACGCGGTTTTCGATTACGCACGTACCTTTTCTTGCCGATCGCATCTGTACTCCTTTGGCACGATCTCGGTATTCTTTCGATACCACGAGATCGCCAACAAATATATACGACTACTACAATCATCTGCC